TTCACTTAACTGGGGCTTATTTGGGGGGTAGGGCTTATATTACAAGCATCCTGAAAAATCACACCAGGGCTTATTTTCAGCTTAGGTCTTATTTTCGGGGAAACTGTATAATATCTAGTTAAACAAATGGTATAGAGAGATTTGGGATATAGCTATTAATCATGTTAGGAAGTAATATTAAAGTAAGCAAAGGTTGGTAAGCAAGAATATTTGTATGAATATTTGGGGAGAATTCATTGATTTTGTATTTATAAAGGGGAAGAGATGTGTAGCTTTGCGAGTCAAGGAAATTTTGGATGAGGCATGATGGAGAAAATGGTCCCAGTAGAAGAGGGGGAGCATGATTTGTGTAGCATGCTATGTGTTATTAGATGTTTTAGGTTTTGTGAATTTTTGTTTTTGTTTTTAAAAGATAATTGAAAAAGGAAAGTAAAAGATTGGACAAAACAGAATATTTCATTATTAATAAGAGTTATAGCAATAAAGATGACTGTGTGTCTCTTTCAAGCCCTACCACTGTTACGAGGGCTAAACAAACAGCAAAAATGGCAGGACTAAATGGACATGCAATTCATTGCTGCCAGCAAAGGAGTACTATTTTCTGAATCCAGGCAAAGTCAAAATAGAAAGGAGAGCTGCCAGTCTCAGACCCCCAACTGATTAAAACATGCCATACTGAGCAAATGGCCTAGTTAATTTACTATTGTAGCAACGATCATCTTAAATTAACTGGGCCATTTGCTGATCAATACAGATGGATTGGGATGAAGAAACACTTTAGTAGTAGGCATTGCTATTCCAAGAACAAAAACCACCCAAGAAAGAAACACTCTATTGTAGCAATGACAGAAATGTCTAGTCCTTCCACCTAAAACATAAATTAGAATTAGCAAAAGCTGGTCGCTTTTAAATAAGACAAACTGCAAGTCTCATTAGCAAACTAATTAACATGCACAGGTCACATAGATCAAGGAAGTATGAAACAAGCACACGAACTGACTACAATGATAAATATCCAAATCACACTTTTATAAGTGACTCAAACATTGCTTGGGAATAAGAACTTGGAAGAATTTACTAGAGGGAACAAAATACAGTTATCCACCCTATTTAAATCCACTTCTGTTAAGTTCATAAATATAACTCTTGAGATCATGACGTCTAAGCCCAGTAAACCTGTCAAAATACAAACTATAATGTCACTGCTTTTCTGGAGGGGCTACAACTATGTGAGATCCCTTCATCCCGTGTTTTTAGAAAGTATGCATCGTATATGTGTTGTACAAACTTTGAAACAATAAAATGCTTCTTGCTGTTTCTCTTCTCTGTAGTTTCTATGGAAGACCCAGTCAGGGACATAACGGAATACATGGATCCCATTCGAGATGAGGTCTGGGAGAAAGTTCCCTCCAGCAAACAGGTTACCTTTTTAGTATATCGGGAAGGAGAACAGTTGAATTTTTTTCGTATTGTTGACAGAGGAGATGGAACATTAACTCCACTGACGGAATCTTTAAGGTATATTCGTTTGTTTTTTCCACTCCCCTTCCTAGAGGATTTAAATAGTTTTGCCTTGGTCTATAGTAATTTCTTTTAAATGTAAAGATGCTAAAATATTGTTGAAATGCTTGAGTGGACACATATTACTAGTATTTATCTGAACTGGCTGGTGTGCATACCTTCTTGGTTTTAAAAAATATATACAGTTATATCAATAGACAAGAATAAAGAATATGCACATTGTCTTAATAAATGAAAGAGAAATTAAACATAGTGCATGACATCAAGTTGAAAAAAGAATGTGTATTTAGAAAAATGAGGAACAACTTGATGGCACTGTCAGAGCAACTTTCAGTCATACTGGCTTGAAGGAACTGGAATTTGGTTGTAGCTAGCTGATTCCCAATCTTTGCTTTGGGAGGTGTTTCACGTCCTTGCAATATTCTAAGATGGAAGCCTAATGGACGCCAAATTGGTCAAGACCCCAAATGACTTCACAGCACATTACAATGGAATATCAAATTTTAGCCAGCTCTCTTCATCCAGTAAGTAGTCAGTTCAGCGGTGCTGTCGCCATTTTTTTTCTTTCAAAATGCAGTGAAGATGTAGAAGAAAAGGGCCATGCACAAGGAGAAGGGGAGTAAAAAGTGTTTAAGATATTTTTTTAACTTAGCACATTCAGATCAGTAGCTGATGCTGAAACAACTGGGAAGACTGGAAGAAGAAACAAATTCCCAAGAAACAGTTTGCATTATAGTTTGATCTTGAAGCTGAAGAAGTAGGCAAATAGTGATATAAATCGAACTGTTTTTTTTTAAAAAGATCCTAACTCCAATAGTCATTCACAATCTTTGAACATTGAACTTATTTTTTTCATACTTTTCATCAACTTTTTGGTCCATAGTTTTATGTGTCTTATGCATATCTTTTGAAGGGTCACTTGATTTTGAAAATCTACAAGTAAAAAGTCAAAATACATTTGTGCTCTCTTCTTGGCAGTGGTGGTTCCATTTATAATTTACATGCTGCTCCTGATGACGATTCAGAGGCATCTCTTTCTGGTCAGCGAATAATTGAGAACTCCATCACAATGAATAAAATGAAGCTGCTCAAAGCAAAGATGGAGAACATCAATCTCAACAAACAGGTGAATCCACAGACTCTCGGCCCCTTTCAGAATGACCTGTGGTTTTTGCATTCCAACACAGAGAGCTAAGGGGAGAGTGGCACCAAGGAACGAAGGCCTCTGTCAGTAGCACCCCCTTGTTGTATACTGGCCGGCATTATGTCTGTCAGTTTACCAATTAAATCTTTATCTCACTTTTGTATTTAAAAATGTTTGCTGAGTTTTTAATTTCTGTTACAAATTCCTTCTGCTATGCAGAAGTACGGAGATCCACAGAGTAGAATAACTACTCAAAGTCCTCAAAGTCCACCCCTTTCTCATTAGCCTGGCATTTACAGTCTCAGTAACTCACTCTGAGACATTTGTAGGAGAAAGAATAAAAACATTTCATTACTTAAAATTAGGAACAGATCAGCAGCCCGCCCCCCCAAAAAAAAACCCCAGCTGAATGTTTCCAACTGTTTCCAACAGATTAAACAGAGAGAAGGAGAACACAGAGGAGAGAAGTGAGGCTCTCTTTGAATTCGGAGGTCAGAAGGAACAATTGGTTAAGACAGGATGGATTGACAGTCACCCCAGCCCAGAAAGGTCCCTCCCAGCCACACCTGTTACAGGTGAAATGTGAGGTTGTAAAAACTCGAACAAAAAATACCCACAATAGCATCTGATATCGGTACCTGGGTTGTTATATTAATAATATATTAATATTAGCATATAATTACTTATTAACATTACAGTTTCAAACTTTTTTTTGTCAAGGTTCAAATTTGAACAGCCTCTGTTGAAATTAGATTCAAAAAGAGAGTAGCATATGAGGGATAGCGAGAGAAAGAGAAAAAGACTTATTTTGGCCTATAGATCAGCCATTCTTAACCACATTTGAAGGGGGCGACAGACTGGAAACAACTTTTCACACAATATCTTATAAAGTTCGTTGTGTGGCTTATACAATCCTTATTTGACCTATATTTCTTTCATACTACACGTTTATGGCCGTGGCCAAAAAAGTTGAGAATAGCTACTATAGATACTTCTATAATGCAGTTGAAAGTAACTGTGTCATTTTTCTTTCTCACAGCCTAAAAAAATTCTCAGAGCGAATCCCCATCCTCCAACGGTTCCTTGTCCATCTGGTACCTCAGTGGTGCCTGCACATCACAAATTACTACGAGCTCTCCCTCAGATTGGGCAGTCCTCCCCGGGTTCTGGGAATGTCTTCTGGGAATATCCAGAAATGTCTCAAAAGGCACTTTCAGGCTTGGTCACGAGTGAGAGAAGGGCGCCTTCCAGTACTCGTGACTTTATGAAGGAATGTAACAAGTGGGAAAGAGTTTGCCAACCACAGTCTGTCGGTAGTCCTAGGCTGCCGCCTCAGCTGTTAGGTGTGGAAAAAGAAGATACGAAGCTGTCAGAAAACCTAGATCCTCCAGCTGCTGTTGCACTTAAACATTCTGGAAAAAATGTAGAAACTAGTGCAGCAACAGACAGAGTATTGTATGGAAGTATCACAAATGTAAACCAGAGTCCTGCAGAAGAAAAGGTTCTACCAAGCACGGATACACTTGCTTTGTTAACAAAAGCCAACTTTGTTGAACCACGCCGTGAATTGTGTGGAACAGAGCTCCAGGTATCTGAGGGGGATGAGTTCTCAGTCACCACAGAACAGCCTAAAGAATCTGTTACAAAACTTACTGCCTCTGCAGCAACAGATACTAGTATTTTTAGCTTCCATGAGCTAAGTTCTCGGAAAACTACTCATTTGTCACCCCTTCACTGTTCTACCCAGACGGTGTACTGCAGCTCTCTAAAACCTCAGACTCAATCAAAGTGCGTTGAAGTTGGTAACTTGAGGTCAGCTGCTCCATCAAATATTCCACAATTGTCAGATGTGAACAATTTAGTAGATTCTGCTAGTCCAAGGACTTTGAGAGTTCATGGCATCAGTAGAGATTCACCTTGCAAAAAAACTAATATCCTTTCTAAAAAGGAGGCAAGAGGAATCTCAGAAATGGGCATCAAAGCATCAAAAGATCCTATTGTTTCTGCAAATAATCTTGGACTTCTAAGTTCATTGACACGAAGTACAAACAGAGATGGATTACAGAACTCTTACGGTACAAGCAGATTTCGGACATCTGGTCTTGCACTGTCTACAGATCTCCAGTATTTTCCTGAAGAAAGTTTTGGCATGGTCTCTCCCCACAATGACATACCTGGATATGTTTTGGTGAGTACTGTTGCTTTCTAAACAGAATTTCTATTTTCCTTTGTACTTTAGGGAGAGCTTGGTCTGTGTTTTTCAGTTAAAAATCTAAATAGTCCATTGCTGGAACAGAGACCTAGATACAGGTGTGTGGTCCTTTTTTTGTTTTTTGTTTTTTTGCACGAACATTTTTAAATAGGCTGGGTGAATAAGTCTTGTTCAGGATTTCACAGATGCCATTGAGAGCAGGCAACTTTCAGTAAATTATAGATGCGCCAGTAATTCTGACAATTCAAGGAGCTATCTCCTACTTCAAGGGTTTTATTCATTCTATCATTCAGAGATAGACCCAAATATTCATGAGTCTACTTTTTTCCTGTTTCTCTCAAACCTGCTCCTCTGCCTGTTTTGTTTATTTGTTTTATTCACCCAACAATGATAGACTATTTAAATAATAATAATAATTTGCCTTGTGTCTCCAATAGGCTGTGGTTTCCTTTTTAGAAGATTCAGGATGCAATCAAACATTTGTCCCACAGCTTGGTCTGATTTGGGAACAGGCTGGTTTGCTCCTTTTCCCAGCAACCACATGATGTAAATGCCATTGAAAACCAAGCAGTTCCTGATTGATGCCTGCCCATACCTTTTTGGCTCCCTGTCACAGGCTACTGTTTAGGGGGAGAGGGAGGGTTTTTTTGTTTGTTTGTTTTGATGTTGATAGGATCAGTCTGTTTTCGTTCCGTTCCAGTGCTGGTATCAAACCAAACACCTAGCTTTCTGTCCCTTTGCTGAAACCATTTCATGATCTCAGGAAATCGAAAGCTTCCTTTCTGGTCACCTGTGTTAGGGGAAAGGAAAATAAGTTTTGTATTTCTCTTTAATTGTTGCATGGGGGCAGCAACATTAAAATGTCTTTTTTGAATATATTCAAATACATTCATACTTTTTAATGGATCATATTATAAGCCTTACTGTTTGCCAAACAACTCATCTAGATAATTCCACTCCAGATGGCTAGCCTCCAGGACTCTGCCTAGGTAACGAACAGATGCCCAAACCATTCCATCTCGGCCATTTCCAAAGAATGACTAATTATTTGGCTGTAATGATAAAAAGAAGCCATTAGAATCGCAATGGATTAGTCACTCTGTGCCCTGGCAGAGAGGCTCATCATCCCGCCTTCTGCCAGGAGTGGCTAATCTATCAAGAGCAACAGAGCGATACGAAGGCTCCATGGAGCCAGTGGGAGAATCGTGAGTGGTCAGTTTGGCCCCAGGGGAGCTGGACCCTCGTTATCTCCACCTATGGGGGGGATATTTGCCTGTGGGAGGATAGCCACCTAGAGTGGTAGTATAGACCAGATGGTCGGGATACAAATCAAATAAATAAATAAATAAAATAAATATTCGTATTTGAATATGAATACCCCCATCTCTAGTACTGGATACTACCTTTGCACAATTATTTATTGTTTTAAAAATTAAGTAGCCCCCTTCTGTCCACAACTTTGTGTATGTAGGTATTTGTGTAGTGTACACACTTTGCTCAGTTGCATATTTTCACATCAAGTGTGTGTTTTATAGGACATGTTTATAACTTGGGTATTTAAGAAAACTTGATACCACAATGCATTGTTTTTCAGTCTTCTGGGCTTGGATTGAATGGAAATTTTGTGACTACAGGGAAAAGAATAGGTGAGTAATAAATTCAGAACTATTCTAAGGTTTCCATTTTTATGGTTTCCAGTCTAATCAGATACAGCAAAAAGAACAGTATAGTATAATTTACTTAATCATGTATTTATAAAAGTTGTTGTTGTTGTTTAGTCGTTAAGTCATGTCTGATTCTTCATGACCCCACGGACCACAGCACGCCAGGCCCTCCTGTCTTCCACTGCCTCCCGGAGTTGGGTCAAATTCATGTTGGTAGCTTCGATGACACTGTCCAACCATCTGTTGTCCCCTTCTCCTCTTGCCTTCACACTTTCCCAACATCAGCGTCTTTTCCAGGGAGTCTTCTCTTCTTGTGAGATGGCCAAAGTATTGGAGCCTCCACTTCAGGATCTGTCCTTCCAGTGAGCACTGGAATTATAGCTATATAACAACACACTTTGCTTTTGCTTTATGCCTTCCTCCCTAATTCACTATTCCAAGTTACCCTTTGAGCGCATGGGTCAAAATAACAAGTCTTACAATTTTCACCAAAACAAGAGTCTACTTGTTTCTCTTCTTTTAAAGGAAAATATGTATCTCCCATTTCTTTACAAACAAATATGAGTAGGGGTGGAATCTGGTTTGATTAAAATGTTGTAGTCTTGCAAAGGGCTCCATGTATAAGATATATGTGGATCAAATTGCTTAAACCAGTGGTTCTTAACCTTTGTTACTCGGATGTTTTTGAACTGCAACTCCCAGAAACCCCAGCCGCCACAGTTAAGAACCAGTGGCTTAAACTAGGAGTCCCTAACCGCCAGTCCGTGGCCTGGTGCCAGTCCGTGGCCTTGGCAAGAACGGGCCATGAGACAGATCTCTCGCCCTCCCACGCACGGCCTGCCCACGCACACATAGGTGCCCCCCACGAGTGCATTCCGCTCATGCACATGAGCGCATCCCGCCCATGCACCCTGCCCACCGTCAAACACAGGGGCTGCCCCATCCCCCCAACCAGTCTGCAGTTCGGAAAAAGTTGGGGACCACTGGCTTAAGCAACCCCACTCCCAAGATGATTTTTTTCAACCTGTGGTTTCCTTGTATTAATTATGTCAACAAGAATCACAAGACTTATTTTCTGCCAGCCTCCCATGTCAATCTGCGGCACAGCATTATAATCTAATATGAATTGCAGTGGTGGGAACATTTACTTCAGTTTTCTGAAAAAGTACTGTATCAGGTTGCACATTCCTTGGAAAATACCTGTACTATTATTTTGTTGCTGTTGCTTTCCATGTTATTTCAGTAAAGTTAAAAGAAAGAAAGAACAAACAAAGACAGTATGTTGATATTTTAGGCTGCTGCTCACATGACTTGATGCCTTTTTTCAGTTGGACATCTTGGTGATTAGCCATGCTTAATAAACTAGAAAATATATAGCATAATATTTAAAATAATGGGAGAACAAAGTAATGATTCAGGAGGCCAAGGAGAAGTGCCTGTCTTGTCTGGACATAGAATTCTACCTGTTTCATTGACAGTATGTTGATATTTTAGGCTGCTGCTCACATGACTTGATGCCTTTTTTCAGTTGGACATCTTGGTGATTAGCCATGCTTAATAAACTAGAAAATATATAGCATAATATTTAAAATAATGGGAGAACAAAGTAATGATTCAGGAGGCCAAGGAGAAGTGCCTGTCTTGTCTGGACATAGAATTCTACCTGTTTCATTAAAAAGAACTGCCAGGCTCTTTGGACTTGAAGGAAAGACCAAACCTCTAAACCAGCAAAGTACAGTGGGGTCTTGACTTGAGAACTTAATCCGTATTGGAAGGCGGTTCTCAAGTCAAAAAGTCTGTAAGTCAAGTCTCCATTGACCTACAGTGCATTGAAAACCGATTAATCCCGTAACAGGCCGTTTTTGTTCCATTTTGGTTTTTTTCTGGTCTGTAAGTCAAATCTCAGGCTGCAAGTCAAACCTAAATTTTACGGCCAGAGAAGTCTGTAACTCAAAAAGTCTGTAAGTCAAGCCGTCTGTAAGTCAAGGGTCCACTGTATCTGTCCTCACTTTAAGTACCTTGTTAGTCTATAGACATCAGTTTAGCTGCCAGTGTTCTTGAAGGTGATCCCTGTCTAAGGTAGTTTCTGTTAGAAAAATTCCTGGATTGGGGAAAAAGGGAAGATGCCAGAGGGGGCAGGATGGGACTGTCAACAGGAACAATTTTTTTAAAGGTGTGGGACCTCTCTTCAGAAAACAGTTTTCTTTTAAATAATGCAAGTGCAACCAATGTATTTTCTATATCTTGATTATGTTTTAGTGAAAACTAAAGGAGAAAAGATTGTACTATGCATGTAGTATTACAATTTAATATACAAATAAAAATATTTTTTTAATTACTGTTTTTCGGATCTATATTATTGTAATCTTTCTCGGAGAATAATATTGTTTTCTACCTGTGAAGGAATGTTTCCTGTCTGCTGCTTTTTTTCTTTGATAGTTTTTTAATTTATTTATTGCAAATGCAGTTAAGAATATCTAACTTTCTGAAAGCAGGTAATGCAACTCATCTGCCTCCTGTGAACGGTTCACTTCAGTCTAAAAAGAAAACTGCAAAGCATTGTTTTTTCTGTGGAAAGAAAACAGGATTAGCGACCAGCTATGAATGTAGGTAAGTTGAATTTCCACCTTAAAATACAATTATCAAGTAAAACTAACCAAATGGTGAAAAGGAATTCTTTGAAAGTTGAATGGGAACAGAAAGGCACTAAATAAGTATTCAGCTAGGAAGTGGCCAACACAGATGGCACCCATTCAGTCGATAGTTCCAAATTGGTCAACATAATTGGAGACCATGTTTTTAAAAGATTGAAAATTTTTGGTTATCCTCCTTTGTGTAAAATCAATACCACTATTCTTAGCAGTTATCACTGTCTTACACTGTTTCCAGTACTGTCTTGTCAGTGATGTATATGTTATCTGGGGGCAACGGGGTTGTTTTTATTTTTTGTATGCCACTGTCACAGCTTGGCATGGTATGTTAAAAATTAATTAGTTGAAATGATATGTTACATATTTAGAAATCAATTAGCTCCGGGGTTCCCAGACCATCCCATAGGAAGACAGGAGGGCCTGGCGTGCTCTGGTCCATGGGGTCACGAAGAGTCGGACACGACTTTTAACGATTAAACAACAACAGCTGTACTGAAGTAGTACATTACCCTGATGAGATGCAATATTACCCTGATTCTACTCAGTACACGACTTAATGACTAAACAACGACAACAACAAAGAGTAGTTTACAGTGTTTAGGAGAGAGTAGTTTATGTTAACTTTTCTAAAATAATACTTCAGGTAATATTTGAAATTTTCCCATTTAATCTGTAGCAGGAATGTTTTTTCTTTTTCTGTCATTTAAACTTTTATTATATATAGTGTAGTTTTTACAAAGAGATTGATAAGTAACTATAAGCGAAGAAAGCAATATAGGAATATAGTTGGAGTTGAATCGGGAAAATTAAGTTAGCTCTGTGTGCGTGTCTCACTGTCAAAAATATTGCCTGTTTCCAGGCTTGTCCCTGTAAACTCTGAATCGGAATGTTTTTCAGGTTTTGCAAAATTTCAGTTGTAGCTTTTGGTGGTCTTCCAAGTAGAGCTGTGCTGTTCGCATATGCAGCAAAAGACACCTAAGAAGCCTATCTGCTAATGCCAATTCTTGCTCTCAGTTTATCTGCAAGTTTTTCAGCGATAACTGATGAACATACATTATGAAGCCAGCTCATGGCACACTGCTTCTCAAGAGATTTTTTAATTTTTTTACTTCTGCTTGTTCCGAGAGAGAGAGCAACAGTGAATGCTTACAAACACCTATAGCAGCTGAGACCTTCTTGTACTCACTGACATTTACAAAATGACACCATGCAAGGGAAAATTGCAGAAGATGACTAATTTTCCCATCAGAACCATTTCTCTTCAAAACATAAAGCAATGACCAGAGTTGCTTTTGAACAAGTTTGAGTACTAGTAAGCACAAGAGGGTATCCTGTAGATCAGTGGTCCCCAACCGTTTTTGAATCTTGAACTGGTTGGGGGGAATGGGGAGTGGAGGAGTGTGGTGCGCTTGCATGCGTGTGTGGAGGGTGCAGGACGCTTGCAGAGGGCGCGGGGCGCTCGCACACATGCACAAAGGGGAGGGGCAGCCATGTGTGCAGGTGGGGCGGGTGGAGGGCGTGCGATTAGCCATCCTCCAGTCCTCTGGCACTTTATTCATCCTCCATGATTTGAAGAAAATAATGCACAGCAGTTCTGAGAGTTCTTCAGCCAGTTTCTTCAATACTTTTGGATGCAGTTCATCAGGATTTAGATGTCTGAACTCATTCAAATTAATAAGGCATTTTTCAAGTGTATGTCTATCAATCTGAAGCAGTAACCTGCCCCCTCCACGTCACATTTGTGAGGAGGAGTCAAGCTAAAGTAGGAATCAAGGAATTCTGCCTAAAGTCCAAGGAGGAGGTGTAAGCTGAGTCTGCTGTAAAGGTAAAGGTTCCCCTTGACAATTTGTCCAGTCGTGTCCGACTCTAGACAGCGGTGTTCATCTCCATTTCCAAACCATAAGAGCTAGCATTTGCCCGCAGACAATCCTCCATGGTCACGTGGCCAGCGCGACTAGACACGGAACGCCATTTACCTTCCCACTGAGGTGGTCCCTATTTATCTACTCGCATTTTTACATGCTTTCGAACTGCTAGGTTGGCGGGAGCTGGGACAAGCGACGGGGACTCACTCTGTTGCATGGATTTGACCTTACGACTGCAGGTCTTCTGACCTTGCAGAACAGAGGCTTCAGAGGTTTAACCAGAACTCCTGGGAGTAAGCATGCATGTGATACAACATCCTTGGAGAATCATTAGTTTTTGTGAACAGGTTTTCCTTAACACAGCCCTCTTTTCCCCTTTACTGATTGGTGCTTTGTTTTTTGTCTTGGAAGTTTCGGTGCAGAAGAGATTATCCTGGCATTGCTGGCCCCATATTGTTTGAATGCTGAATGTTTCTTTGCTGATACACACTCATGGCCAAGCCAGGGTTTGAATTCTCACTGATGAAAAAAGATCAGCGGGACAGAGATCTTTTAGCAAAGCGACTTGCCACTCCAAAGATATCTGCACATTTACTTGAAATTCACGTCTCAGGCAATTTGGCAGTAAATATATTACTGCAGCGTTTCACAGTTTCAATTGAGTTAAGGATATCTATTTTCTTTTCATCTCCTTTCCTAGTTAATCTGATTTTTTTGTAGCCAGGATCAAATGAAAGAGCTATATTGAGCTTTTCTGATATATAGATTGAACTTGGTCCCCAACAGTTAGTTTCAAGAGGATTGACAGATGGTCTCTAGCCTGGTGGGTCTTGCCTTCTAAGTAGGTTATTAAATTTAGCAGACAGTGTGAAGCCAGAATGAAGTCAATGGTGCTGCCTTTGTTTTCTGACCAATATGTTAACTCCCCTGGAAAATCCCCAGAAATTGCTCCATTAAGAATAAATAGATCTGTTCTGTTTTTAAATTGAGCCTGACAGAATTTATCTTTCTGTCTTTAGGCTGTCTAGATAGTCATGAGTTTTCATTCCCATGCGCTAGAGAGGGAGTTAAAGTGTAAATATAAAATGTAATTTAATTATTGCATTAAAATCTCCTGCCACCACAATAAAGGCATTTGAAAATATCAGGGATTAACTTGCTACATACTCTTCAACTTTGGACGAGTTGCTGTTTGTTCTTTATTTTATACTTTAATGTGAAAGTTATACATTTATGATCAAACAGCAGTGTTGACTAAAAGTGTACTGAGTAGAATCAGGGTAATATTACATCTCATCAGAGTAATGTACTACTTCAGTACAGTTGTTGTTTCGTCATTAAGTTGTGTCCGACTCTTCATGACCTCATGGACCAGAGCACACCAGGCCCTCCTGTCTTCAAATTCATGTTGGTAGCTTCGGTGACACTGTCTAACCATCTCATCTTCTGTCGTCCCCTTCTCCTCTTGCCTTCACAGTTTCCCAACATCAGGGTCTTTTCCAGGGAGTCTTCTCTTCTCATGAGATGGCCAAAGTATTTGAGCCTCAGCTTCAAGATCTGTCCGTCCAGTGGGCACTCGGGGTTGATTTCCTTCAAAATGGATAGGTTTGTTATCTGTGCAGTCCAGGGGACTCTCAAGAGTATCCTCCAGCACTACAATTCAAAAGCATCAATTCTTCAGTGGTCAGCCCTCTTTCTGGTCCAGCTCTCACTTCCATACATTGCTACTGGAAAAACCATAGGTTTGACTACGCAGACCTTTGCCGGCAAGGTGATGTCTCTGCTTTTTAAGCTGCTATCTAGGTTTTTAATCACTTTCCTCCCAAGAAGCAGGCATCTTTTAATTTAGTGCCTGCTGTCCCCATCTGCAGTGATCATGGAGGCCAAGAAAGTAAAAAGATACTGGAGTGGCTTGCCAGTTCCTGCTCCAGGTGGATCACGTTTAGTCAGAACTCTCTACTATGACCTGTCCGTCTTGGGTGTCCCTGCACGGCATAGCCCATAGCTTCTCTGAGTTACTCAAGCCCCTCTTCACCATGACAAGGCAGCAATCTGCATGGCATAGCCCATAGCTTCTCTGAATTACTCAAGCCCCTCTTCACCATGACAAGGCAGCAATCCGTGAAGGGGTCATTTCTCAGTACAGTAGGACTGCAGTATCTACGGGGGATCAGTTCCCCTGCAGGTGCCAAAAAACAGCAAAATAGTGAACACTGTTCATAGCAGCGTCTCTGACTCCCTCTAATGGCTATTTCTGGTAAATACACTGTGGAAATACATATAAATATGTATTTCTAGGATTTTTGTATTTAATATTTTTATACAGCAAATAAGTGAATCTGGATACTGATGCTGTGGGCAAGAGATCCTACTCTATTACAAGAATCATTAAATTCTGCTGGAATGCTTTCAGTACTAGTACCTTCTGCTGGAAGTTTGTCTGCATCAAGTAAAATTGGCTCCTTCAAAGCTGGGAATTTAGTTAAAGGGTCAGAATTTGAGATGATTTGTGTGGGTAACATTTGGACTGTTTTTATTAGATTTTGGTTCTGCATTTAAGGAACAGCATTTGGCGTGGTAATTACTTGATCTTGCAAAAGCAACGATTCAGGATTGGTAGCGGTTCATCCATTAACCTCTCAGGGAGAAGGAGGTTGAGGGTTCACTCACAGAGCATAGGTTTTGGGTTGAACTCTTAAGGATGTCCAGCATGGAATCAACATTAATTTGGCCTTCCAACATTTTTACTGTACTTCTAAACTGTTAAAAGGCTGCTTCAAGGCTGAGTGTAGTTTTTTTTGTCAACATTGTATAGTAAGGCCGATCCCTTGGTAGCACTGAAATGGGAGTTTGTAGGTTCGAGTTCAGAAGGAAAGGTGTTTTTGATCTTTGCTTAGAGGGCAACTCTCATCAGGAAACACTCTAGTTTTTGATATTCCAAAGGAAGAGTAAAACTTTTGTATTTTCAGCAGCCTCAGAGGGATAGTTGAGCGGCCAATGGACAATTTCTCATTTTTGGAGTTGGGTCTGGTTGTTTCTCAACTCTTTCCAGACTGGTCAAGCATCTTCAGAGCACAGTATTTCACTCGGAGGTTAAAGGGTCGCTGTTTTGTTTACCTACCTGCTGGAATGTATGTGATTGGTTGTTATATACCGCACAACTTGATTTCTTCTCAGTCATGTCAGACACCTTCCAACTTCCCTCTTTTGTTAGGAGCTCCTTAAGACCCGTATAAATTGAGATATAGCACGGTAGAATTATTCTTAGCGTAGCCTCTCAAGGGGAGAGGGGGAGGTTCAGAACCCCCTGGTAGGAAGCAACAGGTGCACAACTGAATGAGTTAGTTTGGCAAAAAAAAATGAGGCATAGGTGTTGGAAAATATTTGAAACTACCTGAGAAAGGAGTGCTCTGACACGAGATCCAGTATAGAAGCATACCTCCTTCGGGGTATCAAATTGTCAGTCTCTAGTTGTTTAGCACGATTTGGTGGTGAGTGTAAGTTTGATCATCTTTTTGCTTAGATTTTTTTTCTTCTCCATATTTAAAATTTGCTGTTGACCGCTGGAGGATGCTTCCATGAAGGTCTGCTCTTTTTTAACAGTGTTGGCAATTCTTCTCAAGTAGAAAAAAAGGAGGGAGAGCAGAAATTGTTCAGCAGAGGCACAACAGATACCGTAGTTAAACCAGAATGGAACTGACAGAGCAACTGAAGAGGATTGTGGAGGGAGAGCAGAAGTTGTTCAGCAGAGGCACAACAGATAAATTAAACCAGAAAGGAACTGACAGAGCAACTGAAGAGGATTGTTCATCCACACCATCTTGCCCCTCCTTGAGCTAATGCTCGTGTTTGTGTTGTGGATGTTAAAATCTTCCCACCTCTAGCTGTGATACTTATCCTCTTGTGTTGCTTCTAGCTATGGGCACAATTATTTGTCTGTTTTTCAAGGTTTCAGCTGCGAGGTCTAGATACAATGATATTTTCATGCCAAGTGTATTCATTTGGGCTCATTTTATTCAATTGATTTAGTAGTATTTGACTTTTCTGAGTAGTGGTCAAAGTACATTATGATATATCTATGTTGTATCTAGAGAACTTTGTGTGCCATCAAATCACATATGCTTTATGGTGACCCTAATGGTGTTTTAAGGTNATGATATTTCTATGTTGTATCTAGAGAACTTTGTGTTATTGCTGTGTGCCATCAAATCACATATGCCTTATGGTGACCCTAATGGTGTTTTAAGGTATCTTAATGTTCTAAACTGCATTTCAGTCCCTGGGTCTATATTGGTGGTACAGTGGTTGAGATGTTTAAAATGTGCTTTAGTGTTTTGAAACGTCAGACAGTTATTGGTGTATGCTGCCATCTTTGTTAACTACTAGACATGCTTCCTTGAATGAATTTCTTCAATATATTCCCAGTTAGAATCACTCTTAGATACACAGTTTGATGTAGTGGATAGAGTGAAAGACCAGTTCTCAGAGGACCAGGTAAGTTCCTGTAGGACTGTAGCCCAGAAAGTATAAAAGCAAAATTTTTTATATATCCAGTTGTGTCTCGGGATAGTTTATTTTCTGCAACCACCGAGTATGTCAATTTGGCAATCATCTATTGAGAATAGCATCCCAGAAGCCATCACCTCAACATGATGTTATGCAGTTGTAATTATTTGTGTTATCTAAGCCTCAAGAACAGCCTCGGATCAGATTACAAAGACTGAAGGATAGCAAAAAGACGTTCTGACTTCCTTGGAGTAAAACTGCTAATGTGGAATAAACTTACGTGCCATCTTAGTTCTTAATGGCAAACAGTTGAGCTCTAGACTGAACGTTGTGCTTGTTGTTTACTGATACAACAGGACCTGTGGACCCTGGGTTGAGAGAGCCCTAAAGAAAGGATGGCCAAAATCAACATGCTCTCTGTAGACCCAAGGATCAAGTCATCCGGGGAAGTTCCTAAATCTCTAACATTTCATTTTCTGCCTTCAGATGTGGAAACAACTTCTGCGCAACTCATCGCTATGCAGAGACTCATACCTGTACTTATGACTACAAGAATGCAGGACGGAGGTACTTGCAGGAGTCCAATCCAGTGATAAGTGCACCGAAGCTTCCCAAAATCTGAGCATGGGTATACGGCTTGCCTATCTCTTTGAGTGGAATCCTGGTACACTGAGAGAAACGCAGTGGTTTGAACTGGTTTTCTTTTGCTGTGCTCCAAATGTAACTACGCCAAGCATCAAAATCAGATGAGGTTGCATAATGTTGAAGAGTAATGTGAACACTACTGTAATTGACACCTTTTATTCTTCAGTGAAGCAAAAATCTAAAGTGTAGTTTTTGAAAATGTACATTCTCATCCATTATCTCTTGTGTTCGTTCTTTTATATTTGACAATGCTCTTTCACTAGACAAATCTTTTAAGAGATACACTTTATTAATACATATTTTATATTGAGTCTTAAGAGGGTGCTATAATGAAAATGGCAAACACCCCAGTGAAGTATCTCTTCTGTATTCTACTTTGGTTGTTTGGTCCACTCTGGGGTATCTTAAGTTATTTTAGCATAAACTTCCCCATTATACTGAGCCAGGCTATTCACAGTTTAGGGAATTCTCTGCTGTACAAAGTCCCATTCAGATTATCATTCATGTCTATTTATTCTGGAAGTAACATGTTAATTTTGGTATCCAGCAGATATTTGTTACAAAAAGCAAAGGTTCTCTGGGCATTGAACAGAAAAACAGACATTTTACCATTTCCAGCACTAATTTTTTTAAGAGACTTTACGTCTTGGCGTGTTCAGATATTTTATTATATTGCTAGAAAAATTCTAATAAATATTAAGTATTTTACACAGAACAGCTGATCTACTCTTTTCCAGGATGCTGGCATGTTAGTTAAGGAATTCTGCTCCCATTACCATGTCTAAAAGATACAAAGGCTGGCCTACAATGCCTAATGTGGAAAGTAAGTCTAGTGGTCATTCTCCCCAGGTTGCAGTTCCATCACTATCTTCTCATGCCCTCTCTTACATTGTCTAAAATCCTATTGCCAATGTAACATAAATCATGTAACTTGAAGGCAAACTCATACCTAATTGGGAAACTCTACATACATTGTATAATGTCTGCATTGACATTGTAAGTTGGAACAATTCATTGTCAAAAGTTATACTGTTTGAATTGTGCCAACAAAAAGATGTTGGCAAGAATATGTTAGATGTCAGAATGGATGCCTCGTACCTCCTGTCTACAGTCCTGCCCTTTATTCTTTTCCCACGCTTCCTTATCAAACAAAATCCTGCATGTATACATTTTGCATATACTGTACATAGACTTCTCTAGGTTCTCTCAAATATGGGGTATGTCACCCAACAATAATGGCCACCTGAGAAGAGTGCCCTTTGCGCAATTGGGAAACAAGATCAGTATTACTTTTAAACTGCCTTACAATCAATACAGTCAAGTGAGGGGGAGTACACCCTCTTTGAATTCTATGGTTTTACATATCAGGACATAATAAAAACCATCTGGTCCTTGGCAAGTCTGAAAATTAGATAAATACAACCTCAGATTAATAGCAATGCATAACATATTATACCCTTTCATGATTTATTTTAAAAAAATAAAGCTAAAATGGAGTGGCCACGTGTGAAAAACTAAGTACCGTATTTTCCGTATATCTTTATACTGAAAATTGAGGGTTATCTGAGGAGAGAACAAAAACAAGTGAAGGGGAAAAGGGATCAGAGGAATCCTGCAGCTGTGGGATTGCTTTGATCCCTTTCCCCCTCCTTTTGCTAAGTCCCGTGAGGGGTTAGTGAGTGGAGGAGAAAGCAAGGATCAAAGTGATCCTGCATCACTTTGATCCCTTTCCCCTTCCACTTGCTAAGCCCCACGGGGCTTAGCGAAAGGAGAGGGAAAGGGATCAAAGCAAAAAGGATCAAAGTGCTGTAAGATCACTTTGATCCCTGCTTTCCCCTCGACTTGCTAAGCCCAACATGGCTTAGCAAAAGGAGGGGGAAAGGGATCAAAGCAATTCCGTGGCTGTACGATCGCTTTGATCCTTTTCCCCCTCCACTTGCTAAGCCCCGCTTACATTTCTTGATTTTTTGGATAGAAAAGCGGGGAGGGTCTGATACAGTCTACCTTATGATTCAGTAGCTTGTAGAACCACCTTTAGCAGCAATAACGAAGTAATCATTTTCTGTATGACTTTATCACTCACACTGTTGTGAAGGAATTTTGGCCCACTCTTCTTTACAATGCTGCTCCAGTTCATTGACATTTGCAGGCATTTGTTTATGTGCCACCACAGCATTTCAATCAGGTTGAGATCTTGACTTAGACTGGGCTGTTACACCAACTTGATTCTTTTCTTTTTCAGCCATTCTCTTGTAAATTTGCTGGTATGCTGCGGATCATTGTACTGTTGCTTGACCCAATTTCAGCCATGCTTTACATTTCAGATGTCTTCACATTTGATTCTAGAATAATTTGGTACGCAGAAGAGTTCATGGTCAACCCAATGATTTCGAGATGCCCAGGTCCTGTGGATGCAAAAGAAGGCCAAATCATCACCCCTCCACCACCATGCTTGACAGTTGGTAGGAGGTATTTGTGCTGACATGCTGTATCTGATTTTCGCCATACGTGGTGCTGTGCACTACGGCCAAACATCTCCACTTGGGTCTTGTCTGTTCAAAGGACATAGCTCCAGAAATCTTGTGGTTTGTCCAGATGCAACTTTGCAAACCCAAGTTGTGTTGCCATTTTCTTTTTCTTTTCTTTTCTTTTATTTAACTTATATGCCGCCCATACTACCCAAAGGTCTCTGGGTGGCTTACAACAATTAAAATACAGTAAAAAAAAATAAAACAATTAAAATATATAGAGAGAAGAGGCTTTCTCCTGGCAATCCTTCCAAACAAACCATACCTGTTCAATCTTTTTCGAACTCTACTGTCATGAACTTGACCATTTAACATGCTAACTGAGGCTTGTAGAGTCTGAGAAGTAACTCTTGTGATTTTTGCAATTTCTCTGAGCATTACATGGTCTGACCTTGGACATGAATTTGCTTGGACATTCACTCCTGGGAAGATCGGAAACTGTTTTGAATATTTTCCACTTATGAATAATTTTCCTCATTATAGAATGATGGATTATAAATTGTTTGGAAATGGACTTATAACTCTTCCCAGATTGATGGGCAGCAACAATTGCTTCTCAATTGCTGGTGTGTCTTTGGCATTGTATTAACAAACAACTGAATACTCTAGAACAGCAAACTACTCAAATTTTTGCTTTTATAGAGGTGGTCACACTTCCTGATGATCAACTCAAGGGCAGTAAGGATATTCTTAGTTTTTCACACATAGCTTCTTCATTTTGGCTTTATTTTTCTTAAATAAATCATGATATTTTGTAATAATATGTCATGTGTTGTTGTTCATCTGAGATTCTATTTACCTAAATTTCAGACCTACTAAGGAGCTTATGATATTTGTTATGCTTTCATGTGTAAAACCACAGAATTCAAAGACTGTGTACTTTCTTTTTCACATGACTGTGTGTTAAAATGGCATAAACATTATGGAGGAATACAGTCCATTACTGATAGAATGAAAGAAAAAAGACTTAGTAGTATATTTCAGAGTAGAAGATAAAACGATAGAGCTGTCAGAAGGCTACCCCACTGTGGCATGAACACATGCTGAGATCTGTAAAGGCAGAAAACTGCAGTGGCTAGAACTAATCTCTGAAATGACAGCCCAGCTCCAAAAGCATCACCAGGCACGGAGGAACAAATGGTCAACAATGCCATTGGGAATTTTGGTGTCAACTATCGCCAGGAGATTAACAAACATAGCGCAAATGGAGAATGAGGCATTGAGCCTGGTATCAAGCACCAAGGGAAAATAACAATCCTCTCCATGACCAGCCAGGAGCTGCAACTGAGAGCACGGCATTGTTTGGCTAGCACTTGAGGATCTGCAGGTTCCATAGCCAGATGGAAAAGAAAATGTGCCCCAACACCTTACTGATCGATTTTTCTCATTTATTCTCATATTTTGGAGTAATAAGCATAATTTTGGAAGCACCAATAGGGCCCTAATGCTCAAATCAAAATTACAGAGTCATCTGAGGGCCGCAGTGATGTAATTCACAAGATATACAACTAAATATGTGGTCCTAATTGAGGGTGTGGCTACACAGAACGCCTGCCTTAGTTCAAAGTTTTTAAAACCACTACATTCATTCATGCTTCTTCCCCCTTGCCATCGCTGTTCACATCCTTGCCCTCCTCTCTTTCCCCCAGGGCATCTCCTGCTTTTATATCCAAGACCCTACCCTATTTAGGTTTCTCCCTCTCACCCAACACCTTTGCATATCCCCCCCTTATGTGGCAAGGAGCTGTTTTTCAGGACCCATTGCTCTTGAACTGTGATGGCTGAATTGGACCATCCCCTGGTGGCATTCTGACTCATTTGGGCCCTTCCTCCCTGACTGGCCTCAAAAGGCACAAATAATTGGGCATGGTTCACACCTTAGTAAGTGTGGTGGGAGGCATGGTGGTGGGCCTGACCAGGGCAGCTCCATTACATCTAGTTGGAATTAGTGCTATCACTACTGAATATCCCTATTAGGAAAACTAGCTTTCTCTGCTTAAGGACTTGATCACATTCATGTTTCTCATGGGAAGGCGAGAGATAACTAAGTATTGGAAGAATGGTCATGATGATGTTCCTTTGGAAAGCTTGTATAAAAAAGTGTAGGGCCTAGCTTTAGTGGATAAATTATTGCACACAAGGTAGAGATCTAAAAGATTCTAATGACATGGAGCTGTTCCATTCCTCTGTATTTGTTCACTGCTCCAGACTTTGAAACAGGCAGCAGCAACGCAAAGAAATGCTTGGTATAACCCGTTCAGCTGATCACGCTTCCTATGGCTTGGAGTCCTTCACAGCTGTTTTTCTGGGTATCAGGACAGCGGACAGATGCTAAGTTAATGTTTTATTGCATCTCCAGTTTTTGCTTGTATTGTATATGGGGTAGTTAGTAAAATATATATATCACAGTATCTGTCAAAGCTTTGTACACAATGGCCTTTTTCTGATGGTCATGTGATTTACTGTAAAGCATTCCTACTGACACTGATGCAGAATGCTATAATAAATCTCTGAACCATAGCAGTTTTTTAATTTATGAATGTTTAAGGTTGGATTTTTTAAAAGAATTATACCAACTACATACAGGATGTAAGAATAAGATGGGGAGCTCTCGTCTAGGTTTCAAGGATCAAATGAAAGACGTTTTTGCCATTTTAGTAGTTCGGTGCTATTTCAAACACAGCTACCATGCACGTGCAAATTGTTAACCATTTAAGTTGTAAATCATTGTTATCATTTGTTTTAAAAAACTGTGGGAACAGACACAATGAGGGAAATGCATGCCTTGTTGAATCAGTTATTTTCTTTCTTTAGACATTTTCTCTCAATAGGAGAAAATCACTGGTCAAATTCCACCAAATAAGAATGAAAGAGCCTTCCAAAATTTATTGACTAAACATAACCAGGTTGATACCAGCTGACGTCTTCATCCAAGATTGAGAGATTTCACTTTTTATTCCTCATGGCACAATCGTCGTTTAGTCGTGTCCGACTCTTTGTGACCCATGGACCAGAGCACGCCAGGCCCTCCTATCTTCCGCTGCCTCGCGTAGTTGTGTCAATTTCATGTTGGTTACTTCGCAGACACTGTCCAGCCATCTCATCCTCTGTCGTCCCCTTCTCCTCTTGCCGTCACACTTTCCCAACATCAAGGTCTTTTCCAAGGAGTCTTCTCATGAGATAGCCAGAGTACTGGAGCCTCAGCTTCAGGATCTGTCCTTCCAGTGATCACTCAGGCTTGATTTCCTTTAGAATTGATAGATTTGTTCTCCTTGCAGTCCAGGGGACTCTCAAGAGCCTCTTCCAGTACCACAATTCAAAGGTATCAATTCTTCGGCGGTCTGCTTTCTTCCAGCTCTCACCATAAAGAAGGCTGACTGCTGAAGAATTGATGCTTTTGAATTGTGGTGCTGCAGAAGACTCTTGAGAGTCCCCTGGATTGCAAAGAGAACAAGCCTATCAATTTTGAAGGAAATCAACCCTGAGTGCTCACTGGAAGGACCAATCCTGAAGCTGAGCCTCCAATACGGCCATCTCATGAGAAGACTCCCTGGAAGACCCTGATGTTAGGAAAGTGTGAAGTAAAGAGGAGAAGGGGATGGCAGAGAATTAGATGGTTGGACATTGTCACCAAAACTACCTTTAAAAAAAACTGTGGGAACAGACAGTGAGGGAAATGCATGCCTTGTTGACTCAGTTATTTTCTTTCTTTAGACGTTTTCTCTCAATAGGAGGAAATCACTGGCCAAATTCCACCAAATAAGAATGAAAGAGCCCATGTTCAGAGTCAGTTATATTACTAAAAGAAATGGGGTTTTACGTACAAAGATGCTTGGAATTTTTTCCCTAGGAAGTGTGTTTTTGGTCCAAAAGTGAAGTATTTTATTGGCTGGGAAGTCTTGTTTTATTTAACTCACTTGTAAAACTCAATTTAGTGTGAATTATTTTGACATATGAGGATGTCTCTGTTGCTAAAAAGTGCAAGGGGGGGAGGTTACCACTCCCACCAGTTCCATGTGTGTGTGTGTGAGAGAGAGAGAGACTGTCTAATCTTGAGGGAGGCAAATGGAAAAGCCTGAAGTGCAGGGATGGAGGCAAGAGGCGGGTAAGATACATAGCCTAAGTGAAGAGTGAAGAGCTGTTTTTTTGGGGGGGGGGTGGAGGATCTGAGGCACAGATCCTCATGGATCCACATGATTTTTATGTAGGATTATGTCCAAACCACTCTCAATTTTAGGTATCATCTCTGTTTACAGACTGGACAGTGGCTTGGGGCAGATCCCATATAAAAATCATGTGTCTCCATGAGGGTTCATGCCTGGGATCAGTTTTTTTGCACCACTGCAAAGCCATGCATCCCACATGATTTTTATGTAGGATCATGTCCAAACCACTCTCCATTTTAGGTATCATCTCTGCTCACAGATTGGACAGTGGCTTGGGGCAGATCCCACATAAAAATCATGTGTCTCCACGAGGGTTCATTCCTGGGATCAGTTTTTTTATTTTTTGCACCACTGCAAAGCCATGCATCCATGATTTCTGTGGTGTAGTCTGTGAGTAGAAATAAGACATGGTTTCCTGGGGCAGATATGTGGATCCATGCCTGGGATCCATGTATTTGTGACACTGCAAAGCCATGTGCTGAAAGATGCATGATTTCTGTCATGTAGTCTGTGGGCACAGATGGGGTCTATGAGTAGTGGGGGCTGCATTTAAAAACCATATGAAATCATGGAGATTCATGCTTTGTATCCATGTGTTTGTGTCACAGCAAGCCACGTGGCTAAGGGATATCTGAATTATCTGTTGTAATCTATGGGCATAGATGGCGTCTATAATCTGATGGTTTGCTGAGTTTCTGCCCCTCTGTATTCTGAGGTGGCCGCAGGAAGCAGGGACTCTGGTGCCAGCAGCAACCTGGTGGGGGCAGAAGTGTCTGAGGGGAGGAGGCTGGACAGGAGGTGACTGTGGTGTCTCTCTTTCCACAGAGGGCTAGGCAGAGTGAGTAACATTGTGGACACCCACAGCTATTGAGAGACAGAAGGGGAAGGAGAAAGGATAAGAGGGGAAGCCTCACCTGGTGTGTAGTTTTGAATTCTTCTTTCCCCTTTTCCTGTTTCTCTTCTTTCCCCACCCTTCCCTGCTTCAGTATGAAACAGTAACAAAAAAAGATATACATAGGAACTCCAAGATGATTAAACATTGAAGTCCACAGATGTCATGTAACAATTTAAATAAATACAATTTAAATTGTGAGCGTACTCTTCAACACGAAGCGGGAAAGTTTTCCCAAGGGAATGCACAAATACATTAACTGTCATGTGATTATAAATTGATTTTAGTAACATTGCCATTGTGGTATTTCAGTAATGTAATCAGGCCCTCAGTTTTGTCCAGTTAGTGTAGAAATGGTTGACTTGCCTTAAAGGGGGCTTAAAGTTTAAAAGCATAAGTTTAGAAAGCTTATTTGGAAGAACAATTCTCAAATGTAGGTAGGTAGCTAGGTAGCTAGGTAGCTAGGTAGGTAAATGTCATAGCAATTCATTGTCTTGTCACTCCAGTGACAATGCACTGAATTGTTGGGGGAAAACACCTACCAGTGCTGCTTTGGATCAATATAGGCAATCACACATGCTGGAAACCGAACAGAGTGATCATACCTACACTAAAAGCCCCTGCCAGTGGATAAGGGTCATGCCAGTTCACAGTTTCCTGAACGTCATGTGGTTGCCAGAACACAGAGCAAACCAGCCTGGTCCCAAAGCAGTCCAAAATGCAAGATAAGGCATCATCTGATCATACTCTTAGTTGTTTGATCTTTTTGCCCTCAATAGTAGCATTGCTCTGCACATCATTCAAAGGTGCGTCAGATTGCAATTCAGGATTGTGCCTGGTTTCTGGATTAGGAGATTCTAGCCTTAAAGGAGACAAGTTATAGTAAGACTTTTATTCCTACCCAGCTTCAGCAAACTGTCTCAAACAAACTTATATTTACCCTAAAATGGAAAACGATGGGTAGAAATCCCAAGAATGCAAGTTTTTGTTTCAATAACTACCTTTCAAACGTGACAGAGTTATAGCTATACGGAAGATTTCAACCAGATTTCCTTTTGATTATACAGTACTATACTTTACATGTAGCAAACTGAGCAGAAGTCAGAGGGCTGTAAGTTAAAACAAAGTTTAATAAACAAATTTACAATGAGCACATAATTAATTTCATAGAATTTGCCATAATAAAAAATGGAGCATTTATAAAGGAAGCAAATCTGAGGTAAACCTATTCAAAAATATTAATAAACTTTTAATTTTACTCTATTTGAAAAATTCACTCAAACTGTGCACTACATAGCACATGGCTACTTCCTTTGCTCTTCGCCATTATATAGACTACTTCAACTGTTAAGGATTAATGTTTCTGGCAAATCTTAAAAAATAATCTTCAATGAATCAGAATCAGCTCCTAGTTACTCTGGAATTTGAGTTTAAAATTTATTACTTTTACACCATTTAATTAAATTGGCTTTAAACTTCTGGTAAATGCACTTAGAAATAGTTCTGTAAATATCATTATTTCTAATTTAGGATCGCAGTATACAAGCAGTGGTTCCACTTTTCATGGCCTCATTTGCAACCATCTTTTGAGCCACTACTCTTGAAATAAAACCATGCTGAAGCATCTTAAATTGTCGTTGTCGACTTTCTTCTAGATTCTTCCAATGGTCCTCTTGCTGAGTTTTCTGTGGAAGCAAATTAGAGGTTATAATATTAAAACCTATATATTTACAATACAGTAAAGCTTCTTGCTGTGTTATATGTCACAAAATGAAGTAAAAGCAAGCACTTTTGGTTACAAGGTCAGATCTGTAATCTTTCACAAATAATCACTTTTTCTGATCAGGTTAATTTGTAGAGAATATTCATGGTTTCATGGAAGACAATTTTCTGTATTGCATCTATTACCACATTGATCCATTAAAATGTTGACATGCCTAATTATTGTCAGGGCACTATTATGGACCAATCTCCTCATTTTTTAAATTATCCAGCAGTGCCCACTCTTTCTCCACTATGTTTAGAAGAAAAGATACAATTGTATAGAAGGAGATATTTTGCATTCATAAACTCCCTAGGAAAAGGGTTCCTCTCATAAACATGATTTCTTCTATTACATTTCTCATGGCCGTGCTTCATTAAAAAAGAAGTTGGGGTACTTCAGCACAAATAAATGGAAACCGAGTGTGGTTCCAACCCTTCCTGGGTTAACTTTTTAGTCAGTATTAAGTCCCATACATGTTAATTCAAAGTAAGATCTTTCCCATCTTTCCATGTCATTTATTCCTGCCTTGCTTAAGTAGCAAAAATGTAGTAAAGCTTTTGTGTAAGAGGTATGCATTCACAACTGTAAATAATAATGTTACAAATGGATTTTAAATTAAAAGAACAGTTTTACAACTCAATTTCATTACATCTAACTAAAGATGGCCACTATGGGGCAGTTACATAAATTAACAAAAATTCCAGTTTTATTGAATCTTCTCCATGGCTATATGTGCTATCAGAGATGGGACTTTTGTTATTCCAGGACTCCCATCCCAAGTTGTTACGTAGAACCTCACAGGCAGATTTTTGAGATTGGAAAAGGAGAACGAAGACAAAAGAGAGGCCATCCTACCATCATTAACTGTTTTGATACATATGGTTTGGCTGGGAAGCATATGGGAACAACCCTTCAGACACACTGCTTGCTGGGGGAGTTGACAGAGGGGAAAGGCACTATGGCATGTTGCAATGTCAGGCTGTCTAATATCTTGAAATATTGTGGAGCTGGCTGTTCTAGGTCTCTTGCATAGAAATACACATTTCCTCCCTGGCTCAACCTTGGCTGATTTGAGAAACTCAGACATTCACCCATCACTGTGCGGTGAGTAACAGTAGTGCCCACTCAAGCTGCTCTACTTGTTTGATAAGAAGTGGATGGTGCCACTGGGTTGGTCCATCTTCTTTTTCAACAAATCCTTGGCTCCTTTATACAGGGCAGGCACAACCCACCAACTCATTCTGACTCTATAAGCCACAATGCTAGATGGGGGAGGCAACGTTGGGGAGTCTGCAGAAACTGACCTGGATGATCAATGGGAAGGGAATGATATCAAGGGCAATGATCTTGCTGATCAGTGACTTTCCAAACTTGCAGCCACTGACCAGCTTGCACCCCCTTCCTGTGCAGGGCAAACAGGAGGTGCCTGCTTCACCACAGCATGCTTCCCACCTGTTCCCTGTACACCAGAGGGGGTACCCTACAACTGAACTGCAACGTGAACAACACACTAGCCTCCTCTGTCAGATGTCCTGTGGGGCGGGTGAGCCTGGATAAACCAACAGTAGCAGCAACTTCTTAGCACAGCTTGGAAAGCAGCTAAGTTAGAGATATAGTTCCCTGGTCCAGAGTAGTTGGTTACTACTATAGTTCTTTTTTTTAAAGTCATGCTTTACTTTCACATTACCCAAAACTACAATGCAAGTGCCTTTTAGCCATTTTTAAACAAGCCACCTGAATGCTACAAATGCCTGGTGAGTGCTACAAACCATACATAAGTAACATAAGAACATCAGAATGAAAGAATATCCATAGAATAAAGAGGAAAGAGGCATAACGGTATGCTCATGGTTGTATTTTGGTAATATTGTGCATTGCACTGAAAACGTATTGCATGGAGGGGGAGGGAAATCAATAAACGTTCCCCAAATAACTTCTTTGTATTTCTAGTGTACTCGGAGGAAACAGTGAAAAGCACACAATACAACCATGCAGTTTCTGTATGTGTATCTATTAAGACACACACTGCTCCCAAACACTGTATAACAATAACTACTCTTTTCATATGCATTGAAGGACAGTATTGAGATGGTAATTAGGACCCCCCTTCTATTGGATTTTGGACTAAAACTACAACTTCTGTCTTACTTTCTGTGACTTCCAAGCCCCTGTTGACCTTTCTTTGAATGGTGTAGTGGTACGTTTTAAACTCTCAGACTGTATGTGACTCTCTGTAGATATTTCCTCAATTTTTTTCTGTAAATTTAAAACTTCCTCATTTTTCAAAACACTTTCATAAAAAGGAATCTTGGTTTTCTTTTGTTCTTGTCTACAAAGCAAAGAAAACAAAGATGACAACAGTGTAATTAACGGAGACATTCAGGATTAGTGAGATAGTTGCTGCATCATTGCAGGGTCGATCTAGGCATGCCCTTGAGTTGGAGGCTGTCCAGTTGACCAGCAACTGGTTGATTCTAAGAACTAGGCAGGCAGGAACAGATCGGTTTGGGAGGGGGAGCTGCATCACACTGAGTGCGGCTGGATCCAAGGGCTCATGATCCCTGCTGGCACTCCAAAGATATTTGGACTTAACACGGGCTGCTTGCTGGCATCCTGTTCTTAAACCCCAATAGACTGCTCCTCACAAAGTTCCAGTTTGCAGGAGTGCTACAAGCGACACTGGCCATGTCCAGTCTGCCATCTATAGACTTCAGCTCCCACTCTTTTAGGATAGATACCGCCATTAAGGCAGCACAATTGGGTTTCCCTGCAACCCAAATCAGATCAATAGGCAGGTGGAAATAAGCTGCATACAAGTCTTATGAATGGCCTGAGCTACAGTAACCAAGGGTATTAAACTACAAATTGGTTTTTTGTTTTGTTTTTTGCTATTTTGGGTCCACTTCCGATCAAGGTAGTTTGGATCTGTGGCCAGAGTATTGTGCAATGGGCTGGCCAAAATGCTGCCTCAACTAGACTGGGGGTTTCACGTGGTCCGGCCACCATGGGATGAGATAGAAGGAATTGCTACTTATACTGAGAAAGAAGGCAATGTAGTACCAGCAGCCAGACATCTTGATCATCTAGCTCAGGAGAAATGATCTTGGAGAACAGAAGAGTCTCAATATCCTCCGGGCAGCAGAAAAGTACTTACAAGATCTCTGCATGCTGTTTCTTTGTACAGTGATTTAGTGGTCAGATAAGCTGGAAAGAAGGCAATGGAAAGGTGCTGCAGAACCAGCTAAAATCAATGTCACAGGAGGAAGATCACAAATAAAGTTGGGCAGTTTGTCTTGGAGTTTTGTAGGAGGAGGACTATACATCCTGAATTGTCCTTTTGTTTAGAACAATCATTTTGCCAGGATGGGGGTACACTTGTTGGACAAGGAATATTGTTGCACAACATATTGAGACAACTATATGTTGATTTTAGCTGTGTGTGCACCTCCCTCTTGTGGGATTTTTAAAGCATGAGGATGGATCCAGGTGGAGGGGTAGGAATGATTGTAGGGGCTCCCCATTTTGATCTTTTAAGGAAAATTGGGGTGGTGAGATAATGGGCAAGCCTAGCTCTGGAGCTACTGTGTACTCCTGATTCTTGGTAACAGATGGAGCACACAGTGGCACATGCCCACATGTTAACTCCAGTCCTGTGACACTGGTTATCATCAGTCCATGCTAGCACCAGGGGCAAATAATGTTGTACCCTATTTATTCCAAAGAAAACTGTGTCTTTGTGTTTATTTATGCCCTCAGCCTCTGCAGCAAGTTATTGCTAAATGTCAAGAAAAAAGCAAAGCGTGCTGCTTATATACCGCACTTCAAGCACTCTCTGGGAGGGAGGTTTACAAGTTAATTATGCAGGCTACACATTGCCCCCCCCCGAAGAGCTGGGTACTTATTTTACCAACCTTTGAAGGATAGAAGGCTGAGTCAACCTTGAGCTGGCTAACTGGGGTTGAACCCCATGTTGTGAGCACAGTTTTGGCTGCAGTACAGCATTTCAACCACTGCGCCATGAGGCTCTTCTGATGTTTCCTGCAGGTCTCATAAAAGCTTAAAATTACCCCTTAGAAAAGACTAGAAATCGGGCCTTCTCGGCGGTGGCTCCTCGCCTCTGGAACAACTTACCTCCTGAGATCCGCGCGGCCCCCTCGCTGGGTATTTTTAAGAAACAACTAAAAACACTGATGTATAGGCAGGCCTTCCCAACAGAAAACCCCTGATGATCTTCCTTCCTCTATTTTGCCTTCTATCTCTATCTTTGTTTAGCTGTAATGTTTTTAAAATTATATTGCTGTTTTTGTAAATAAATAAAATAAATAAATAGTATAAATATTCACATTTTATCATTTGTCATAAAATATACTTCCTTGTATATTTATCTAAAGTTTTTTAAAATGTACTATCAGTATACATCAAACTAACTTTAGTGCAGCCGCTCTTCCATACTGTTCTCGAAACATGCAGATCTCTTCTAGTTTGTTCAAAAGAAACTGTTCCTTGGCATATTTTTCATGGATTATCATATCCCTCTTTTTTTCTGTCTCCCTTTTTTCAGCTTCTTTTAGCAAGGCTAAACGTTCTTGCAGTTCCACAATTGACATCTCACCAAAAACACGATGGTTAGCCTTCTATAGAAAAGAGGAATAGTAAAGAAATTTATTATGCTTTGAATAAACTTTACATACCTCCTTGTGTATATTTTTATCCCACTTGGGAAAATAGCTGAGGTTATCAATGACAAAATTGTTCATGTACTATTCGTCAACAACTGCTAAAAGGCTGAACTGTTCAGTATGCTTCATATTTTTCCCAGCTGTTCTATTAGGATTACTCTTGAACTAGAATAGATATGCAATTTCCCCCATCTGCAAGCTTTTCTGCATGAGTTACCTCGGTGAAGACATGCAAGGTTGGGCGTTGTATGCTTGATGGGAAAATGTTGTAATTGGTAAGAATAGCATCAGGCCCTGTCCATTATATTTTGTTCTTAATCCCCACCACATGTGTAAACCTTCCAACTTTTCCCTTTGCTGGAATCACGCCCTATCCCAATGCTTCCTGAAATTGGAATGTAGCCCCAAGCTAAAAAGTTTCCCCCACCCTGTTCAAGAGTATTAAAATCATCCAGAACAGCAGCACCCAAGTAAGACAACCCAATCAAGTTACTCTTTCCCATTGGACAAGAAGGGACTGATGCAACAAGCCTTAAAACCATTCCCAGGAGCCACAGTCCAGTACACATCTTGGGCAGAAGGTATTGTACAGAACACCAATTTCCAAGCAGGAAAGCCCAGCAGAATTCACCCTTGTCATCGGCCTAAAAGAGACTGATGCAAGATGCCTCAAAACATCCTCAGAGTCACACTCCAGTCCCCATTCCAAGCAGAAAATCAAAAATGTTCCAAAAAAGTTTAGAAAAGCAATTTCTAAGTAGGCCATCCCAACAAAATTCACCTGTCCTGTCACACTAGAGAGGATTGATGCAACAAGCCTTAAAACATTCCCAGGAACCATATCTGACTACACATGCTGGGTGGAAAATCCATACTGTGCAGCCTGGAATGACAAATTCCTAGTAAATAATAATTAATAATGGCTGACATGTAACTAGAGTGGACTGACACAGCAGTGCTTAAAATATACCCAGAAACCACAACTCATTACCCTCTTCCTAATTTTAATTGTAGAAACCAAGGCAGTTCAGCAGACTGCATTAGGCTAGGATGCAAATCTCTTTTCAGCGACATTAACTTGCTGGGGAGGTGGCAATGGCAAACCACATACTTCATAAATCCTCTTAGAGTCACTATAACTTGGACGTTTTAATAGTGTTTATACTATTGTACTTGGTGGTTTTTTTCTGGTCTGTAAGTCGATTCTCCGGGTGCAAGTCGAATCTAAATTTTGCGGCCAGAGAAGTCTGTAACTCGAAAAGTCTGTAAGTCGAGCCCTCTGTAAGTCGAGGGTCCGCTGGTACTTCATAAATCCTCTTAGGTTCACTATAACTTGGACATTTTAATAGTGTTTATACTATTGTACTTGGTCATCATTTTATTCTTTTATGGTCTCTAGGTTAATGCAATAAAATATTTTAACTAGCAAAAGAACAATGACTCATAAATTGGAAACAACCAATACACATTTGAATCTGAAACAAACAGTAACTATACCACTGCTGCATCAACTCTCCCAGGCAAGTTAATTGATGCTCAAGATTTTAAAACAAAGGCATTTAGCCAATATTCTACCCGTGTCACTCGTGCGAGTCAGGAGGTGAGGCTGAGGAGCCTGACGCCGAGGGAGGCCCGGAAAGAAAAGACAACATCAACTCCCTCAGGCAAGTTAATTGATGCTCAAGATTTTAAAACAAAGGCATTTAGCCAATATTCTACCCGTGTCACTCGTGCGAGTCAGGAGGTGAGGCTGAGGAGCCTGACGCCGAGTGAGGCCCGGAAAGAAAAGACAAGAAACCGAGCCTTCTCAGCAGTGGCTCCTCGCCTCTGGAACAACCTACCTCAGGAGATTCACATGGCCCCCTCACTGGGTATCTTTAAAAAT